CTTCCGTAAAGGTTTCTATTTTTCTAAGTTTCAGAAAAGTCGTCAAAGTGCACAATTCCCTCGCGACGACAGCCGCGCCCGCGCGGTGATCATCGAAGCGAACGACGAAGCTCACGTCGAAGTCGAAATAGCCGGTCGGTATCGCGGAAAAGAAGCAGCAGTGAGATAACACGCATGTGTTCCATGAGTGAATGACTTCTGTCGCTAAACCGACTCGACGATTGACTTGACGACTGACGCAATGGCTGTACTACTGGCACGGGATTAACTCCACTTTTCGATGCGCCTTGATTTATGGTAAATTAGTGGTGTCATAATATTTCCGCGGTGTACATTACGACCTCTCTTTAGCGTCGTATTCCGCAGGTGCTACAATGGCGACGATAAATGCCGCGTAGATGCCGTAGGATAGGCATTCAATGTCACGCGATCCTCGAAGATATTCACAATACACGGGCTTGTATGGGTGAGCGTAATAACGCCGGCTACCGGTGTTGCGGCATCCTTTAAACTTCGCCCCGTCGTTTTCGAAACCCTGACTCGACAGATTTTTTTCCGAGCGCGGCTCTTTCGAGATAGATGAGCGGATGGATATCACCTCGTTGTACCGTTACCGGAATAATGACCCGTCTTTAAGACTGTTGCACGTAGCAATTTACGCGCGAAATTATCCACACGGATCGCCACGATAATTTTCATGATCTCGATGTGTGTGCGAAGATAACAGTTTTAAAGACCTGTGTAATTGCATGTAATTGACTTTCCATTATTTTATATTTGTAACTAAAAACTTGCAACAACTTATAACACGAGTAATTTGCTCCTCCTCTTCCCTCGAGGAAAAGACGAGGAACTTTGATGATTATTATTATGTACGGAAATAATACATCGTTCTTTTTTTTTTTATCACATGACACATGATTACGTAGATATTGCCTAAAACTTGTGTGTGTGCAATAAAATAGCACAATCATTTGATCGTCGAAACAAAGTACTTGCTTGAGATGCGATGCACTTAACGATGTTAAGTCATATTGTCGGAGTTGTGGTGTTAAATATATCGCGACCGTCAAATCGTCATCAGTCCGAGAGCGATAGCGTAAGGATTAAAACAAGAGTCGTTACGCCGGTCCAGTCTATCCGTGTCATTTATTATTAATATTTTATCGAGCGTCGCGCCATTAAAGCGTACAAACGAAGAGCGCACCTCTCACTACCGCTTCCATCCCTGAAATTATTGCCCCATTACTTTTGCCATTACGCCTATTAATTACGCGCGCTAGTGGTGCGCTTCGAATTTTTAATCGAGTCGTCCCCGAATTTAACGGGACGTGACGATGATTCGATCGCGAAGGATTCAATCGCGCTTCTCGACGAAAGGCGCTTTTGACGAAAGAAGTATCAATTACAGACATGACCGTGGCAGATAACGGCTTCCATTCGATTTTCTGACTTTGTCGACGGTAAACCGTCGACCATCTTCTACGACAGATATATACGCATACTGAAACAAAGATTCGCTGACAACGATGATGATCGCTCGGCTGACGAATCATTTGTTCTCGTCTCAAATTCCCTCAAGTCCAATCTGACTGAAGAATCAAATTGAAAACTTATTTTCCGACTATCCTCAATCCTCAGTACACGTACAAAACGATCAAACATTCATCACCCTCCCCCAGCGAGATTACACCTTGCTCGATAAATCGTCGCTCCCGAGGACTTTACATCGCAGCGAAGCAACCAGAAATAAATTCGAGAAGCGAGTCTCTCTCTCTCTCTCTCTCTCTCTCTTTCTCTCTCTCTCTCTCTCTCTCACGAGTGCACGGGATGGAAAAAAGGAGGGCAGCCTCTCCTCCGATTTCATACGCGGCCTTCTGGTGGCTGCGGCCGAAAATTTGTCGCGGCGTTCACGGCTATCCTTCCACCCCACAGCTGTTTAACCAGCTGTAACGTATCACACCTCCCTCGGTGGCGGCCTTCCTGGGTGCCTTCGAGCGAGCGAGCGAGCAAGCGAGCGAGCGCGGGCGGCGTGCCCGATGGGCCGGAACTTTTTCACAAAAGGCACGTGTGCATCGATAATCCACTGTTGCGCAGCGCGGAACCGTCGCTTCCGTTCGATCCTCCGCTTGAGCCTTCACGACCATGATTATCTCGGGAATGCGCCTCTGGACCAAACACGAGCTCGTTCCTTCGCAAAACTCCTCCTTGCGTCGCGATTTATAGTTTCCTTTCTTTACCTTCTTTTCATCCGCTTGGGGACGAAGACCCCCATCCGGCGACTCGTCCCATTCTCTCTTCGTGAATTTCCTGATTTTATCGCTCCTCATCCTCGGCGGATGTGTCTCTTACCATTAGCCAATAGTAATCAATATACTTCCATCATCACCATTGACACAGCCTTGACACAGGGCTGACCCTGAGGTATTAACGTTAAGCCACACGCGGCAGGTATATTTAGCACCAGCCAATAATTTATAACTCTCTTATGAGATATATATATATATATATATATATATAGCCAATAATAACGCATAGTCTTGAAGTGCGACGATACATGATTACTGAGAATCTTAGCTGTAGCGATCGCTATGGTGAGAATAAATAGTATCGGGGAAAAGATGCTACAGTATCTTTGTCACGAAGTGTCTTTGTCGAACAAAACTAATAAATTTTTCTCGATTATTGTGTTCATATACGGGAACTTTGGAAAGACAGAGTCTGGAAAGAGATGCCTGATGCCAAAGAGGCGCGTGCCCATGGCACCGTCTCGACGTATACTTAACCTGAGTTTTCAAAAGAACACTCCCGTGGGGAGTGACACATAAAGTCATCGATAGAAGTAAAAGGAGAAAGGAAACGAGGAGGATGGAACGAGTAGGGATGAAGCAAAGTAATCGAAAATAGGATTCCTGCCAAAGATTTACGTTTCTCTGAAAGGAACAGTAGCGGGAACATAGTGTAACGCCATTGTGTGGCTGTGTTCATTCTTTGTCGTGATAATTTACAGAATGTGCTGCCAGGTCATTTGAACAATTTTGACGAGACGGGACAATCTGCACAACCACGCGACGCTTATATATGAGAGAGAGAGAGAGAGAGAGAGAGAGAGAGAGAGAGAGAAAGAGAAAAGTGTGGCCGTGACATCAAGATGAATTGATTACTGGAAGATTCTGGAGGAATCCTATTCAGTAAGCTTACCTGCAGGTCGGTCGCGACAAAATATTCGATTCTGTCTCTAGAAAGGTATTGAAATGTTGAATGGAAATTACGTATCGCCCAATTCTTAATGCTCGTTCAAAGCTGCCACTGACTAAGGCGTCAGACTAAAAATCTAGTGTTATTCAGTCCTCGAGTGTCATCACAATCGTGTGACACACCTCATATTTCCTTCCCTTTCTCCCGAATTTAAGGTCTAAACTCTGATTTGTCGTGCGAAGATATCGTCGACTTGAAGGAATCGAATTTCGCGCAAGACGGTTAAAAAAAAAAGGAGTTCACAGAGTTGCAAGCAGCAAACTGACGAGAATGCCGATAAGAAAACCGATAATAAGAGATAGATCGTTCGATGTTTTGTTTCCTTTCCTCTGGGTTGAGAAATTATTATCCGTAGTCTGGTGATTTTACATGGTTAACGTCACACTGCGGTTTATCCTCTTGCGACATCGCGGGTGAACGAACCCGAACAACCAACGGTAGATCGATCTTGCGAGAGGCGCGTTGGCGTCTCGTAAATTAAAAAGTTATTAGCGTCTAATTGTGTGCCGATTAATTTGCCCTTGTAACTAATGCGTGCGTCCCACACGCGCGACAGCCGCGTTACGTAGCCGCCGCCGCCGCCGCCGCCGCCGTAGCTCGCTTATGGGAATGCGTACACGGGGTGTCAGTTGCTCCGTGAAATTCTCCATCAATCTACGAAATTATCCCAGCCATATGGCTCGCCGCGAGAAATTTTTCTCATTTTCCCTTTTCCTTTTTTTCCACACACGAAAGATGCTTCTGATGCTACGCATTTTATTGCCTGTAATTAAATATGCGTGTGTCAATATCGTGATTTACGAGAGGAAGGAGACACTTCGCGCGATTCTACCTTGAGCGCGCAGCGACAATCTTCAGCCGCCCGCCCGCCCGCCCGCGTTGTTCCGTGTGTCCTGCGTAGAAAATTATGTTGCGACAATGATCGGGAACCTCGATCCGAATTGCACAAGGGACTACTGGAATTGCGCAAAGCCGCAATTGCGGACGATTTTTCGCCATCGCACCGCGCCAACGGGCCGCGCATACGATCCAATAAATTTCGTCTCGTTTTATTGCCATAATTAAGGCTGGTAGAGGGGCGGAGGGGGGAGAGCAAGAGAGGGAGAGAGAACGCGCGGAGGGCCAGAGCGTTCCATAACAAACGAATGACGTGTGCGGTAAGGGTCTAAATGAAAGGGGCGGTCGTTGGATAACGGTTAAATGCAATTACCGCGCGTCTTCTACGCGCTGGGATAGGATACTGTCCGTGCAGCCGGTTCAAAGTTCGTGGCATACGTATGAATTATGCATTCGGTGCAGTCCGGGTGATCGCGCGGTGCATCATTATCTCCCGAGAGGGCTCCTGTTACAATTCTCCACCTGGCACGAAATCTCGCGCCTCTCTCGAGGAACCTCCGTCGACGGAAAAACGAGGAATCGCCCGGCACGGCGGCGTGCCGAGCTAATTCGAACGATCAATCACGATGATTGTTGGCTCTTGGAATTAGCTTAGAGCGCTCGTACGCGCCTCGTCGCGCGGACAGCCTGGCATTTGCGCGATTTGCGCGATTTGCGCGATTTGCCGCAATTTTGCCGCGACGCAGCTCGTAGCACTCGTTGTGGAACTCGTTATATTTCTAATCGGCGGCTGCGAAGTAAAGTTAACTCCACGTATATAAGAAGTCGTATATTTCGGTTAATTTTATGTTTAACAACAGCAAGCAAGTATGCAGGATCATCGTGTGAACGATGACTACGGGCAATAAAATCTCGATATAAATATAAATACGTATAAAATATTTCATACGAAACGTAGAATTTCTTTTAAAACATTTTACCGGTGGGTAACACGGTGGATTTTGTTTTTTGTTTAATTATAATGCTCGCAAAAATTAGAAATTTTTATGTGATGGCGGCATAAAAACGTCGATCGTTCTTCGTACTTTACTCTTGAAAACTGACGTCCATCCGTGTCCTTTTATAGGTGAATCCTCTTTAATCCTGTATCTAGTTGGTCCAGGACGAATGTCACTCGGCGGAAGTGGACGTGCAAACTCCACGTTACTATCGAAAGGATATCTCTTGCGTGTAGTAGGTTTTTGCGGTTCTTGAGGATTGTAATGACCAGGTCCCGGCTCATTGGGGTCCCGGTAACATGTGCTGATGTCTTGTAACAACATCCTTATGACTGGCTTTTTTGGGAATCTTTAAAGAGATATTTATCCGAATCAAAGAAATTTTCGCGTTTTTAAGGTTAGGTTTTTAAGGTTAGGTTTTTAAGGAAATACAAACATGAATTCTAATATTAGTCCTCGTGATTAAATTGTTACGATAATAATTCAGCAATTTTTAACGGAAAAATTTCCGAAGAAAGCACACCATTTCTGAACGACCTTGTCTCAAAGATTAATAATCTTTTACTTATTCCTTCATTTATGTTCTATAATTCTCTAGTACTCAAATCTACCTAGGATTGGTCGTCCATTTCCCTTTGAAGTAATTGGATTTGCTCAAAAGTTTTTCCATCTCACTTGGTAATTTCCTCGGCCAGTCTCCGCTGTCCGGTAATTTCTTACGTGCTACACCTATGAGAGTGGTCTCATCTCTCGGCCCTCGGAATGAATTCATAGAAGTTAACAAACACCGTAATTAAACTTTTCCGTGGCTATTTTCTTTTTTCTGTCCGTCTAAATCTCCACTTTTGAAACTTGATATTTTAAATTTTCCATAAAATGTGAATGTAAGATGACACTTTATCAATCTATATTTTCTAAATTCTTATATGGAGAACGAATTATCTTGAAACATACCTTTTTATCATTCTTGAAAACAATTTATAAAATAATCGATGTATGTATTTTCGTGAAAAAAAATATATTCACACCTGTGAAAAGATCGTAGGGCCCTCTCTTGCCCGTAACCTTCTTGAGAAAAATTTCCAGTGAAGATGGATGCCTCACATTATACCTGTCACAGAAAACGTGAAAGACGATTCTTTTGTGGTTTCAGGAACTATGGAGGAATGTGTGAGATATAACTTAGTAGAGTGACATTACATCAGACGATTTTATTCTTTTATTCTTGCCTGTTGCACGGCAGAGACCAGCTTTTCCTAGTTTCTCGGAATCTGCAAGCCAAACCGTCAAACTCGAACGACGATACCTGAGAGAAACCTTTCAACCTTTTCTGCTCCAGGTAGTAATACGGATTGTGCACTCGAAGAGTGTAGCCTTAAGAAGAAGGGAGTGAGGGAAAAATTGAGAGATCAACCCTGACTCGAGCGCTGATTAACTTAATCCGAAAGACCCTTTTCTAGGACTCGTTATAGGAATCAAATTATCGGAACGATTTAATTATCCTCTTAGTGTTCGACAGATTATTTTATTTTACCTGGACCAGGTGTGGTGGATTTGTAACTAGGTGCGAACCGTGGCACTGTTCCGAAATCGACGTTCTCTCGTAGACTCTTGCAAGGGACCTCGAAAATTCTCTCTGGCCAACGGAGTATATCGTAAGGCCCACCCCCGGTTTTCATCAGTTGTCTCTGCGCCATAATTTCCTTGGCCAGATTGCCCATTGTGGCGGAGAATCTTTCCGTCTCTTCTTTTCTCTTCCAACTGTATCGTGTGGTTTCGACTTTATCGGTTGCTCTTTTCGCGCCACTTTGAACATACAAAGGTAAGGCTCAACTTTTACCTGACAGTTTCAGGTTTGCGACCGATCGATCGAGGATAATAAGTGCCCACAGCCGGTGAGACCGCCGATGCGAGGGTTAGCATTTTGGGGTGCAAACCTAGTTTGTTATCCATTTTTGTCCCGCTATTGAAAGGCGGATGTGGTTTAGCTTTCCGCGGTATTAGGCATCGGCAACGCCACTTGTAGCAGCAAGTGCATAACTTGTAGCTTGTGCTTTTGTGTTTTCGTGACATTTCTTGTGTGTAAAGTTTTCAAAAGAATGGATTTTCAAGGGTAGCCTGATAAAATCGCCGTAATGTAAATTGTGAATCTAACACAAATCTAACGAGTTGTTTGTCAACTGCATTGAGTAAACTTTTTGCTAAAATGTTATTTGCAAACACGTTCTTGCAAAAAAAAAAAATTAAATTTGTCTAACCTCAAGTTGAAATATAATTCTGAGAAGATCCGTTTCGGATCGACGAAATGTAACGACAATATTCAGATCGTTATGTAACATTGACGTTTTTTTATTTTGTTGCTTGATCCATGATTTGAATAGAGTCGGGATGAATTATTGGGCAATGGAAACAACGAAACCAAAGTGTGTAGAAATGTTTTGCAAGAAAAGAAGTAGCATGAAACACGAATGGAATGACAGCTGAATAGCAGAACGCTGATTTTTCGGTTGCCGGTATTTCGTTTGCCTTCGGCTGCGCTTGCAGCTGCAGCTACGTTTTCAAGCAACAGTGATTAGCGACGAAGCTTCCTATAATATCGATTGCAATTAAATGAAACTCCGTTGTGATATTTTGCACAGTTGTATAACATAATAAATACATCGAGATGCAATTAAGAAAAATTGAAAATCTCCGGCAATATCTGTTCGTTCGTGTGACGTATATTAAACAACGAGAAATAGAATCAATCCATGCCTGCTCTGTGTAAGTTGATTGCCTGGACACGGGTGCGAGTTTTCCTGTTGTTCCAGACTTGCAAAGTTTCTGCCAGAGAGTCTTGACGTACGCAGATGGCGTTGCATCGTGTATACCCAGAGCAGATGTTTACCAGGCCACATTCATTCTAATGGGGGTTAAAGGGCCTGCTCGTGAAGACGCCGAGTTCATTGGCATGTGAACTCTCGAAGGTGTTTCCGCGGAAAGCACCGATCGCGCACGGGTGCTGCATGTGCTGCATCCGTGTCTAAATAAAACACATATCACAATCGCCATGACGTAACGGCCGAGGATACCGAATTCGCGACCGTTCGCGGCGCCGTGGCGCACGAATAACGTGATGACGCGCACCGTGTGAAAACAAAATTACGTGTTGCCGAAATAAAAATGCGTGACGCGGGGTTGGATTCGTTTGTTGGAGTTTTTTGAGTTGATCAGCTGATAAATGTTTAGTACCTGAGTGCTTGTCAATGTAGAAAGTTAAGCCGATCCTTTACCTCGTGGGTTCTGTTTGTTTGGATTCTGTTTCCTTTTCTTTTGCAGTGTGTGAATAATTGAATTGTGCGGAATGTTAGCACAGGAGGAGCAATGTGGAAAAAGTATAAAAAATATATGTAATTTACACGAGGAATATCGCCTGCCGTAAAAGTGCGCACGATAAAAATGTTCGCAGAGCGAGATTCATGTTATTTATGAAGTTCTCCGTAAGAATTTAATCGGGCCTGTTGGAAAGAGCTGCTATTAAAGTACTGTCCATTATCTTTGAGCACTTAACACTCGCAAATGGACAGTGTTACATAACGCTGTTATCTCTTCCAAGGCGATAATATATCTGATAAAGGAAATATTTTTTATTCATAAAATGGGTGGCACGATTTTGTACAAAGCAGTTTTCAGACGTTCTCGAAGCACCAATCAAAATATAAGGACTTGCTAGTCGTAGAATCCTAATATTTATATCTTACAGCACTACTATTCTATTCTACTATTGTCGTGCTGTTGTCTACGTCGTCGATAAACATTCTTCTAGGTAATCCGTCAAGATAATCTCACATTACCTTTCCGTGACAAATCAGACTGTTCTTGAATCGGATTTCTAAATACCGCTCTTCTGTGTTACTGTAGTCTTGGTGCGTCCTGTCGCAGATCTATGCTGGAGGGTTATGTATCTTACATTCAAAGATGATACGTATGATATACAAAAGCTTCGCGACATATGGGTCAAACCTCATGGGCATCATAGCACCTCTGAGTATCCCGCCACTACATATCGCATCTTTATTTTACTTCTGGCAGGAGTACTCGAGAGTGGTGGACAAGGAGTATTGTTCCTGTTCATGTTGGGACACTGTGTTTAAAGGTAAGAATGTTTCACAGAAGATTCTGAACGTATTTCGATCATCTAAGACAGTTGGGAATTGCGAGACAGACTCTCGATCACACAATGTGAACAATGTGTTCTGTTTCAGGCTCGTACGAGTCCGGAATCGCTTCCTACAAGCACATGTACTTTAACGCCACTCAAAACACCCTGAAAATATGGATGGCCATAGTCATCGGAGTGATCGTATTTTACGAGACGGTGAAGTACTTGACGTGGCTGGCGATTCAGCAGAGGCTCAGATACTCCATGATGCTGCTTTTCTCGACCACCGTGTTCTCCCATTACTACACTTGGTGGGTTTACATAAACTACTGGAACGATGAATTCTATTCGCAGTGGTATCATCAGATGTTCTTCTCCGTCACCGAGTTGATATCCACCTTCTGGGTCTTGCATCTGGCGGACAGTAAGAATCCCGTGACTCGCAGGAAGGCGTTCACCATAGTCGCAATAGCTATTCTGCATATTCTGGCTGCCAGCTGGGATCAATTCTTTCAGAACGTCGTTAGAGGGGAAGGCTATGCGCACCAGGTAAGTGATTAATTCATGATGAGCAATCCATGATGGTCGTGTGAGAGGAATATCCCCTCGTGATCCGCCAATTTCGATTTTCGCATCAAGGTCGTACGCGATTTGATGCTCATGATACCGGACATCCTGCACGTGGCCGTTCCGCTATGTTCGATCAAGTGGAAGAGCGGTCATCATCTTCCTGGATACGGCATGAGATACTCGACTATTATACTATTCCGAAGATGCACCATCACGAGGGACTTGGTATACATGTTGAACATAGTCATGGTCGGACTGTGGATTTGGGCGTGTTTGTAAAGCTTCCACGATATCTCCGGAGAAAGCGTATGTGACATATCGCGTTTTCAGCGACGGTCCCGAAGCGTGACCATTCGTTCTAAAATGAGAACGGCCTTCATTAATTTACCATGTTCTTCCTGCGAAATAGCTGGATATGTAGAACGCTTAACTCGATCTCTGATACAAGAGCCAAAATTGTCTCGTCTCTGCGTGACAAATTCCATTGTTGCTGTGCAGGCACAGTAACAATTTTATCAATATCACGAAAACGCAAAGAAACGCTCCGTATGAATATAGTATTATTATTGTTAACGAATGTGTTCCGAGAGTAGCTGGACTGAACTTAGGTTGCGTGCGCCTCTGTCCCTTTTTTCCTAAGTTAGCATCCTCGTCGCTTTATTCGGTTTACCTCTTATCGTCTTATCTCACCGTGCGGTCTTCTCGCGTGAGCTTATAGGACTTTTATCTATTATTTACGACGGATATATTTATAACGGTGCGAAGTTTCGACATCTTTATACCAGGCTCGCGAGCGGGCAGAAAACACGATAAACACTCAGTGTAATTCAAGACTTTGTTAACACCGAAACTTTTATAATCTAAAGTGCGTTACAGACGGCTGAGGAAAAATCGCGAACGAGTAGCGTCTCTGAAGAGTTACTCCGAGCAAAATTAACTATTGCATTAATAGCGAACATATCAAATAGCGTATAGGTAGTTTACGCAAGCGGAACGTTATCATGGCCGGAGGCGATTATGGGCACTATTAACCAAAAAATAGCGTATATATACATGATACTATTACAATAGTATTATTTATCAAAGATTAATTCGCTGATTTTATAGAATCACTAGTGATTTTATGAAAACATCAATTAATCACTTCCCGATCGTTACATACGTATATACATATTTATACTAGATGCGCAACAAAGTTTCCGGGTTTCACACATGGATGGCGCTAACGACACATGTAGTCGACATATATATGTCTGAAGTTGTGTTTTTTTATAGCTTGGACATCTGTTAACAACAACCAGTCGTAATACCAACACATATCGCAACGCAAAAATATTTTTTCTAACAACGAAGATGTCGAGTTTTGTGCCAAATAAACAGCATTTGCGGGAAGCTTTGCTTTTCCGCTTTAACTTGCAAAAAAGTGCAGCTGAAGCACGTCGTTTGCTCGAGGAGGCCTACGGCGAACATGCACCATCGAAAACTACCTGTGAAGATTGGTTTAAACGCTTCGGAAGTGGCGATTTCGACACTGAGGACAAGGAGCGCTCCGGAAAACCAAAAACAATCGAGGACGCCGATCTGCAAGCGTTATTGGATGAAGATGATACGCAAACACAAGATCAACCTGCGGAGGCATTAAACATGACCCGACAAGGTATTTCCAAGCGTTTACATGCCATGGGAAAAATTCAAAAGGAAGGAAAATGGATGCCGCATGAGTTGACTGAGAGACAGATGGAAAATCGAAGAGCCACTTTCGAAATTTTGCTTTTGCGGCATGAAAGAAAGAGTTTCCTGCATCGAATTGTTACTGGCGGTGAGAAGTGGATATATTTCGAGAATCCCAAACGCAAAAAATCAACATCGACGGCACGGCCAAATCGCTTCGGAAAGAAGACAATGCTCTGCGTTTGGTGGGACCAGAAAGGAATCGTGTACTATGAGCTGCTGAAATCAGGCGAAACTGTCAATGGGCATCGCTACTGACAACAACTGATCAATTTGAACCATGCATTGTTGTCGAAAAACGGCCAGAATGGGACACGAGACACGAACGAGTGATATTGCAGCACGACAACGCTCCGTGCCATCGCAATTCCATCGTCCAGGGCACCATCAAAACGCTGAAATGGGATCTGCTACCGCATCCGCCGTATTCGCCAGACCTGGCCCCTTTCGATTATCACTTGTTCCGGTTGATGGCGCATGGCTTGGCTGGGCAACACTTGGCCAATTTCGAAGAAGTGCAAAACTGGTTGGATGAATGGTTTCGGTCCAAAGACGCGTCGTTTTATCGTCGCGGTATTCATGTATTGCCAGAGAGATGGCAAAAATGTGTGTAGCTAGCGAGGGACGATACTTTGAATAAATTTTTTTTTTCACTTCTCTTGAAATTTTCCATTTTTCGTTGATCAAAAAAGCCCGGAAACTTGGTTGCGCACCTAGTATATGTATGTACGTGTATATATGGAGGTATATATACCATACAAATAATAGTATTATATTGTATTTATGTGTAAGTTATGATGCTTAAAGTGCCTACACACACACACATAATGTATATATATATTTATATTATTTACATGACTATTGTGTTGACTGACGCGAAAACTTGATCATAAGAATGAAAGGAATTAATTCTTCTCGCGTATTTTAGCAAATATTTCCGGCGGAAAAACAAATTGTACTTTTCTCTCTCTCTCTCTCCCCCCCTCTCTCTCTCCCTCTCCCTCCCCCCCTCTCTCTCTCTCTCTCTCTCTCTCTCTCTCTCTCTCTTTCATAACAATATGTACTCATCGAGCGAAAAATTACGCTATAATAACAACGACGGAAATTCCGTGATTATCAGAATGTCTTACATCGATTTGCAACAGCTAGTTTTCTGAACGTCACGACATGACTGTCGATAGTAGATCCGCTTAGAAGCTTGTTTCCTCTTCGACCGACGGAATAAATATTATATCCAAATAAATACATATCTCTCTCTCTCTCTCTCTCTAAAGGTAGATTTAGTAATAAGACGAGTGGTGAGTGCGGCTTGCATGGCGATAAAAATAAATTATTAAAGTTGATTTTATCATTGTTACGTATTTATCGTAGGACCCGCTTTGCGACAAAGCTGTTTCCAAAAATTACTTAAGTAGAATTAGTATTTATCCGTTTCATCGTGATGGCGATGCGAAATAATTTAGGCTAGTACTAAAGACGCATATAGAGTTGTAGAACGTATACATAGAAAATGGGAACATAAGTCTCGTCCCAGGAAAAGAAAAAGAAGAAGAAACCGAACGAAAATTACGTAAAATTGCGATTACATTGGCGAATCAACAATTGTAAAGTCTAAGCAAAAAACGGAATTTCATTCTGATAATATTTTGTTATGAAGCATGAAGCGAAATCCCGAGTGCAGACACAAACACAGTTACCTGTTATAAACATTAACTTCCACTGACTTTGCGGAGTGGACAAAATATGTTGGCCTCATTAATAATACAAACAATAAAGCGGCCTAATTTCCAACACTGCTTTATTATTTCTGAACCCATGCCGTCCTCTACTCCTTCTCCGCCGTCAGATCAAGTTGTGCCGAGACGCACAGAGTTTTATTATACATGAAGGAAAAAAACTCGGACGAGAGAGAAACGTAAAAATAGAAGAGGAAGTTTTCATGCGTCCTCTTCCATACATCGCACATGCAACATATATAGCGACAGTTGCATATCGCTCCCAGTGGACACCGTCGTCGTCGTCGTCGTCGTCTCCGTCGATCTTTGACTTCATCTTCTCTCCACACACCGTGCTACCGGCGTGGTAAAAGTACTCGTGTCTACCTCGTATACACAAACACACGCGCATACACAGTCCACACACAGTCACGCTTATATCTGCTCCACGTGTCGATTACACAACATACACACACGCAACACGCGCGCGTATATGGCCTTACACCCAAAGGCCGCGCATGAGCGACGAAATGTCACACACATTGTGAGGACACCTTTAACCTCGCGAGCGGGGGCTAAAGCGCAAGCCTCGAATCGATCTTCCACCTCCGAGCGGCGCGTTCACGAAGAACAACCCCCAGCCGACGAGTCTGTTGTCGACCCAACAACAGTCCGAGACCATCCGACACGGCAAACATGGCGTTGGATTTCGCAGCCACATACAAAGTCCTGGTACTGGGCGACTCGAACGTCGGCAAGACCTGCATCGTGCATCGCTACTGCGACGAACGGTACTACGACACCTACATCTCGACGATAGGTGAGAGAGAGAAAGAGAGAGAGAGGGAGAGAGAGAGAGAGAGAGAGAGAGAGAGAGAGAGAGAGACAGAGATACGCGCGCATTACACATACCGCATATAATACACCGGGTATCCCCCCGTTTACCTGTGGCTGCGAGCACCTTCAAGTTGTGCTCGGTGGACTCGTCGCTTCTCCTTTGAGCTGACCCCTCGCCGATCGGGTGAACATCCTTGCGACAATCGCGAGCGCTCGTGCTCGCCTCAACTGCCGCATCCCTCGGTCCATGACGAGTTTTCATTGTTCTAAAGTCCAAGTAGGATGAACGCGCAGCGCTCCGTGTACAGGTTGATACAGGTAGCCGTTAATTAACCCTAGACCGCTATATATACGATGGGGTCACAGCTGTCCCTGGCACAGATACCTCGTAAACTGCAACAAACAAGCACACGCACAGTTGCACTTTAATTCTTTCTCTCTCTCTTTTTTCTTCTTCTTCTTCTTCTTCTTCTTCTTCTTCTTTCGCGTCATTCTAATTTTACACGCGAGGTTGCTGCTTTCTATCTGCTATGAGACAATGCGATACCGAGGTAACCCTCTGTCTCTCAGTCGAAAGCGCATAAATCATAATTTGTTTTCGCGAAGAGGAGAGCGATTTTCCGTTGGGATTTGAATACATTGTCAGAGATTAATTTGTGTCGCATGTACGGAACGTACATATTCCGCAAAATGCATATGCCGAGGCTGCATCGATCAGCTGATCAGCCTGGTCGCATCCGCCCCAAGCTCCGCTTGGGCGAATTTCGCGACTTTCGCGATTTTCCAATTTCACATTTAGCCGGATTCAGCCGGCTGTTCAGTGTGCGGAGTGTACATGATTATGGTAAAAAAAAAATATATTTCTGCGGAAATATATCTCCCGTCCGCGGCTGTGAAAAAATACTCCGCGGCT